ATATACTCCCATCTTCCCTTGCCATTCCGTCTCAGAGCTGGCCATAAAAAAAGAAAGAAAAGCTCCAAACTACCTTGTCTGATGTTAGGTCATAGACCCCCATTCTGAGGCAGGAGTTAGACCCCATTTACAGGCAGATAGGGCAAGGGGGTCCCTCCCCCCAAGAAAACCGCTGTGCTGTGTGACTCCTGACGGTTCCTACCCTCTCCCAGCCGCCCTTTCATTTGCCCTTAGACATGCAGATGTTCTTAAAGAATTCATGGCCCTCTACAATAGGCCTCCAGTGGACTAGGCACCGAATTCTTCTACCCTTAGACATGCAGATGCCCCTGATAATGGGATTTAATTAGAAAAAGACCAAAAGGCCTGGACAGACAGAATCCACGCCACACAGACAATGTAAAACATTTCAGTCACCCAAATGGGGCAAAGCACTTTCACTTTCTGATGGGTGGGACCCTACCAGTTGAGATATAAACCTGGAATCCAAACCACCACCACAGGCAACCCATTTCGGAACCCCTCCCTTCTTCCTAGGACCTCTGATCTTTCTTCTACCTCCTTTGGTAAACTCTCTGCTTTCAACACCTCTTCCGTGTCCATGTTTCCAGTTCTTCCTGCGCGTGAGACAAGAACCCATATCCCGCTGCAGGTGCTGGGCCTGATCATCCCTGCGCCTCTGAGTTCCTGTGTCAATTTCAGAGGGTCCTGCCCCTTGCCCAGGAGGAAGGAAGGCTGCACAGAGGAGCTGAAAGAATCTGAACAGACAGGCCTCGCCGTCTCTGCCTACTAGCATTAGATAATGCCTTTCCTCTAATCACATGTCTGCACAGCTGTCTGTCCTCCAATCATGCCTATGCGACAAAGTCTCATAAAAAGTCCAAAAGCACAGGGTTTGGAGAGCTTCCAGATTGCCGAACATGCAGAGGTCCCTAGAGGGTAACGTGTCCAGAGGAGTCGTGGAAGTTCCATGCCCCTTTCCCACGTCTTAGCCTCTCCATCTGCCATGGTTTCAATGTGTCTCTGAAAATTCTTACGCTAAGAGTTGGTGAGCCACGATTAGCTGTGGTGGCCAGTGGAAACACAGCGTCCTGCAATGCTGAGGCCACACGGGATGGTCCCAGGCTTGCCTCCATAGGCCTCCCTAGACACACCAGGCAAATGAACAAGTTTATGACACAGGCCAGGGGTGGACTGTGGCATGAAGACCCTATTGGGTGTGGACAACCCCCGACCCCCAGTGAAAGAGATAAATAAGCTTTAAAAACTTTTTTTTAGAGAATCAGCCATGGCCTGGTAGTTAAGTGAACTGGATTCTACTTGGTAGACTGCAATTTGAGTCCTGGACCGAGGGGCTTAAAAAACACACCAGGTCACCAGGTACCTGTGCATGCATGCCCAAGGGATTGTGACAGTGTGACAGAACCATACCCCACGCTGGGTGCTTTCTCATTCTGTTTGTCTCTGAGCCCTCTGGCAAAATGTAAAAAAAAAAAAAAAAAAAAAAAACCGAAGGCGGGCGAACCATTGTGAAGGTATAAGAGGGCGGGGAACTCAATTTGACTGCGGGATTAAGGGGTGGAGGTGATTAGATTGGATACTGTTCCCGGTGTGGGGGTGTGGGCCCTCCAGCTGAGTACCGGTTGGTTTATACAGAGCGGGAATGAGACCAGAGCAGAGGCCGACACAGGCTCTGCTCCCTACTTGGTCCCCACACCACAGATACCAGGTGTCCTTGCTCTGCCTTGTCACTCTGCCAACAAGAAGGCCCCCACCAGACACAGCCTCTGCACCTCCAAACCCCGAGGTGAATAAACCTCTTTTCTCCTTCCGATTACGAAGACTCAGGTATTTCTGTTATTAGCAACAGGATGGACTAGCACATACTCTTCATTTGTGCCCTCTGTGGACAGAAGTCTGACTACTTTTCCTATTTTTCCAAAATCTTTTCAAAAGGGGACTGGGGAAGTCATGCCCACAAACATTAATAGACCATTTACTTTCTATTAACAGGATTCTTCCTACCTCCTGCCCCTGGCATAGTATCTTTGAGATGTATATTTCAAC